TTTACCTGAATTCAGGGCAGGAAAAGAGTGACGCTGAGGGCATTTTGCCTTGCTTAGTTGTCAAGTGCCACAAGACTGGGCGCTATTGGGCAAACGTAGTTCCATCAAAGGGTGCAGAATTGTTCGCAGTTGAATGGTTGAAATCTTGCCTCAACGAAACAGGTTTCAAAGAACTATGCCTGAAGAGCGCGAGCCGGCGATTGTGGCTTTGAAGAATAAAGTGAAGGCGGAGGAAAGCAGGTTAAAGATTCATCTTGCTGAGGCGCCGGTGGAGGATCACCAGGCGAACGGCTTCATTGAGGTCGCAGTAAGAGAAGTGAAGAGACAAGTCAGGGCATGTCAGGGCGATGTTGTCTGACTTTCAGGAAAGGCTTGGGTTCGAGGTGGAACCAAGTCACCCATGTATGATGTGGCTGCCACGCCATGCAGCCTACCTCCTCACTAGGTTCCGGATTGGACCGGATGGAAAGACACCGTATGAACGGACCTTCGGAAGAAGCTGGAGGATACCGTTAGTAAGTTGGGGAGCATATTGTTCAGGCCAAGACCCCCAAGAGACGGACGACGTCATGATCTCGCACCAAGAGTGTCCATGGGAATGTTCGTGGGCACAGGGCTGCGCAACAACGACATCTTCGTCATGACGGCAAGAGGAATTGTCAAAGGAAATGCAATCACTCGAAGACCTCCTGAAGATCAGTTCAAGTACGAGAATTGGAGTGAACTCCGTGGTGTTCCTTGGAGACTCCAATCGCGTGAGGCTGGCGAGGTTCGAGTTGACTTGCCACTGGTTGTCGGGCCTTTGAGCCGACCACCAGCTGAAGAAGTGATTCCACGGAATCTCTATGTGACGAAGAGTGACATCGAGAAGTACGGTCGGACCCCGTTGTGTCCGGGATCTGAGGCGCAGTTGTTTGAGACAGGGCGTAGGGCCCACAATGCCGAGTGCAGGTTTAGAATCGAAGGCGAGCTCATGAAGTCCGAAGAAGGGAAGAAAAGGATTGAAGCAGCAAAGGCAAGAATAGAGTCAGGGCGCCGCCCAAAGCTCCTAGAGTCGGAGGAGGGGCAGATGAGCCAGAGGTTGTGGAGGCTGCCAACGTTCCTGCGTTGGTAGGCATTCCAGAGCCTGACGCCGAAATGGCCTCGGGAGAAGCTGTTGGAGAACCATTGGAACGAGTCGCACCCCGCGAGCTTGAGGAACGAGAAGATGAGCCGAGAAGCCCAAAGAAGCACAAGTCCGGCACCAGTCGGATAAAGAGAAGTTCAGAAGCAGATGTTGAGGAGTTGCATCAACAGATGCAGGAAGAAGTTCCAGCAGTAGGAGCAGTTGAGTCGGGACCAATTCCGGCTGCCGGGAGTAATGACCCTCGACCACACATTCACCAGTCGCACCTCCAGATGCTTCACCAGGAGGAAACGACATGGCAGACATTGGACACCTGTCCATGTGTGTGTGCTCAGTTTTGAGGGAAGCCATGTGCAGAAGACTGTTTCCGAGATCTTCTCACCCCCAAGAGTTTCAGCGCAAGCTCAATTGGTCGGTTTGCGACCTGGATTCGCAATCGATCTTGAGACAAAGAGAGAGGATGGAGATCATTGGGATCTCAGCAAAGATTCGCACATCGAAGACCTTTTTACGCTTTTGGACAAAGAGAAACCCAAACTTCTAGGTGGTTCACCGCCATGTGGACCATTCTCGCAACTTCACAACCTTGTTGACGCCAGGAACCAAGTCCCCGCGTCAGTTAGGTCAAAGAGACTTCAAGAAGGTAAGAAGCACTTGAGAACTTCAGTGCGTGCTTACCGCGCACAGATGGACGCAGGTCGTTACTTCCTTCATGAGCACCCAAAAGGTGCACGAAGTTGGGAAGAGCAGAACTACGCAAAGATCCCCGTTTGTACGAAGTCACAGGACCTATGTGTCGTTGGAAGATGGAATCCTCCGATGCATGGGGCAAAGGCCTAGTCAAGAAGGAAACCAGGTGGTTGACCAATTCGCAACACATCGCGATGATACTATCTGGTGTTTGTACGAATGTTGAAGGAAAGACTTGGCATAGACATGTGAACCTCATCAACGGCAGGGCGAGATCAGCACAGGCCTATCCCCCGCTGTTAGTTCGAGGAATACTGGAAGCTCTCAGAAATCAACTGGCTGAAGATGGCGAGTTCAGTCAAGCTTTGAACTCCCTCGGTGCTGGACCAGTACCGGATGCTGTTCCAGTCATCGACGAGGAACAAGAAGTTTACGACAATTTACCTCCCGCCGATTTGCCAGTCGCAGGACCAGTCTATGATTCCAACACCGGAGCGGGGTTGGATCTAGCAAAGGTAGCTGCTGCGAGATTGGGTGCAGAAGCAATGCATCTACAAGAAGGTGCCTGCAGAACAGGCACGTGCTGCTGGGAAAGTTCCCATCACAATGAAATGGGTCGATGGCAACAAGTGCGACCTGGAAAGACCAAACTACCAAATGGTTTTTTTTATATGCAAACCACTTACAACTGGTTTGCAAAGAGTTTGCAATCCATTGAAATTAGAATGAAGTTGACATAGGTTGCGCAAGTTTATGTTAAGTCACATGTGGATGTAGCTCCAATGTGGCAGACATAGCACGGGCTTAGGGTGAAGGAATGTTTTTACTTAGGTTTGACTTAGATTGAACATGGATTGGACTTAGCCGAGTTGTGTATTTTAATCTTTTGCAACGTCGACTTGCTGATGGTGTTGCTCCTTTGCAATCATTTAGGCTCAAAAGAGGGTTTGTTGTTGGGCGATTGCTTCTGAGGGAAGCACTCATGACTGAGGGTCAAGCAGGTGGGGTTAAAAAATATAAAGCGCAGGATTACACGGCGTGTCTGGCTTTTTTGCCGGAAGGAGTGTGGTCTCGTGTGATGAAGGCATCGACGGATCGTCAGCGTGCCGAAGAGTTGGCACATTTTTGTTATACGATGTTGGGTCTGAGGTATCCGAATGAGCCAACGTATGCAACATGGACCTCTCTTTTGGCCAGTTTTGATCCTGAGTGTTCCAGCTTTGATTTGCGCAGCAAATATGAGACAGTGAAAAATGTCTGGCAGAATGCAAAGACAAGATTGGCGCGGACGCATGTGACACCTGCACTGATGCTGCCTAAGTTGCCGTTGTCATTTGATGAGTTGACGGCAGATATGCAGGCAGCATATGGGGAGGCCAGGCCACTTGCGCAGTGGCCAGTATCGACCCAAGAGGTGGAAAGGCAATTCTTGCGAGTTCCCATGCGGAGCTTGCATGCGAGCTTACAGGAAGAGAAGAAGGATGTAGTCCACAAGCTGGCGGATGCAATAATCAAGAGGATCGATGGGGGAGGGCGTCGTCGATCGGATGAAACCTCGAACATGTTGCCTGGTTTGAATTTTTTTTCCCCAGGTAAAAGGAATGGCAGCTCTGATGTGGCTGGGTCTGAGAAGCGCTGTCAGATGGCAGCGCTGAGCAATGGGCAGGGCGCGGGCAGTACGAGAGGAGAACCTGCGCGGTTCTTGAGTCTGACAGATGGGCCTAGGGCGCTGCGGGCGTCTGCTGAGGCTGAAGTAAGCGAACATGCGCCGGCGACAACGCCGTCGGCGCCGGTATCGGCGAGCAAAGTTGCGATTCCAAATTTGCAGCTCGTGCCTGCCCAAGGTTCATCTCCCGATCTCTTGCGCAGAGGCCTCAATGGGACAGATGCAACGAAGAGAGCCCGCGTGGATGCTGGAATTATTGCTTCGCCTACGCGGCAGCAGAATTCTTCCGTGGATGGGGAGCCGGAGCAGGACGTAGCTGGCAATGCTTCGGTGCCTGCGCGGCATGCGACCAGCAAGACAGCTACAGGATCCTATGAGGCTTTGGCAGAAGAGTTTTTGGAGGCACGGAAGATGGAGCAGAAGCCCAAGACTGCTGCGAGCAGTTCTTGGAAGGCGAGCAAGAAGAAGCCGGCTGCGTCTGCCGTGCTGAAGCTGAAGCGACCTGCGGGGTGCCTCAAGAGACCAGCTGCTGCAAAAGGTCTAAAGGATGCTTCGGTGCCTGCGGAGGTGACTGCTTTCCAAAATACCACCTTCGACGCTCGGAAGTATGGCAAGTGCAAAGTTGAGTATTATTCTCAGAAGAGCTACATTCGGAACTTCCAAGAGAAGTGGGTCATGATTGTGGGAAGCACGCATCGAAGGCACAAGTATGTCTGCAATATGCTGGTGCCGCATGTGAAGAAAGGAGCATCCCGAGAGGAACTCCTTCGCATTCGTGAACGCATCCTTCAGCAACTTGCTGACTAGCATGGTGCGACCATGCCGGGATCGTTGCTGCACTGCAGCACGCGTAGTATGCCCAGAGGCTACGCGCACATGCCGTTTCTTTCTTGGGAAACTTTGCTGCACATATCTGTATATACCTGGAGTGGAATCTCTGCTTTTGACATGAAAAAAACCGCCAGGACAGCAAGGGTTTGGCGGTACTGAGTCGTTATGTTGATTTCGATTGTTTTTGTTCCGGTGTCTTTGTTCTATGTCTCTTTCTCTCTCATTCTCTCTCTCTCTCTTTTTCACAGTTTGGTTCTTTGTCTTGCATCGAAAAGAAGATGATATATGTTTAGCAATTGAATCAGCCAAGTTGGATTTGATTTGAAAATGCAAATCTTTGTGTCTGAAAACAGATTGATCCAGTTTGTCCGTTTGTTCTGCAGAGACATGGGCTCAAGTATATTTCTTGGGTTAGCGCGCCGGTTCTGTGCCTACAGTTGGAGGTGTGGTTGGGCAACCTTAAAAAATGATGCAATATATAGTTTGTCATTTGCACAGTGTCTTGTAGCCCTGCAGGTTTGGAAGCATGGGACGCCGCTACGAGTTGCCGACGATCGCCGAAGAGGAGGAGGTAAAGTCCAGCAGCTATGAGTCGGTGACAGAGGAAGAGGGCGCTCCAGAAGCCAACCCCACGCGGGAGGCTCCAGAAGGCCACCGCATGCCGGAGGCTGCAGCGGGCGATCGTCGAGAGCCGCCGGTGACTCCAGCTCGTGCTCCGGCTTCACGCAAGAGGGCTGCGGGCCCGGAGGAGGAGGAGGGGGTCGTCGGACTCACGTGGACCACGTCATCGTTCCCGCGGACGTTCGCCGTCCCGGGCAAGGGCAGGGCGGCGAACTCCTTCGCCGCCTCCGCGCCCTAGGTCACCTGTGGGGTTGCCCGGAGCTTATCCCAAGAGTCGTCCGATGGTCCCTGAGCCGCCTCAGCCGCCACACAAAGGTCGCAGGAAGGGGTTCAAGCCGCAGAAGCCCAGGTGCCGCTTCTGCTGGAAGGAGGTGACCGCTCATGAAAGTGGACAGAGCCAGCATGAGTATTGGTCCACGTATTGCCTGTCGTGGCAATTCAAGAGGGCAGGGTATCCTCACAACGAGTGCGACCAATTGGCAGAGGATCTGAAGCAACGCAGGCTGGAGCGCTTCGAACGATTGGGGCCGGATCCAGATGCCCACGTGGCATTCCCAGAGCAGCCGGGGGGCACTGCAGCACCAGCGCTGGCTACGCGCCCGGCGCTGCCGGCGTCGTCCTACAAAGACAGCCGTGTGCCGGCGTCTGCGGAAGAGAGAAAGGAGAAGAAAGAGAAGAAGAAGAAGCAGAAGGAGGCGCCCAAGGAGCCGCACACGGACAGCCGCAAAGAGAAGAAAAGAGAGAAGTCGAGCAAGGCTGCTGCGCACGACGCGGCGCCGGAAAAGAAGGCAAAGAAAAAGAAGAATAAGGGAAACAAGATCCGTGTGATCGCGGTGTCGCCGTCTCCTGAGACGATGCGTCGCCGCAAGCGGGAGCCGCGCAGCTCCAGCGAGTCTGACAGCTCGGACGAGAATTTGAGATTGGTCAGCTGTGGCGGCGGTAAGTACCGTCTCATTCGAGGATGAGGTCGTATGAGTAAGCCCACGGGGCATGGCAGCTGTGCAGTATTTGCAGCCTAGGTGGCAGGACACCGCCTAAGTGGCATGGCAACTGTGTCAAAGCTTTGCCTATGTGGCAGGGAATCTGCAATGTAGGACAGACTATAGGCGAGCACAGAAGTCCACGAAGGAGTTCACATGCACAGGGTAAATCAAATTAAGCAATAGTACAACAGTACATTGATGAAAAAAAAATATATATATATATATATACATATGTTTTAAAATACCTACATTCATAAACGGTCGAGTTCCAGGCGAATCCGGAAACACATATAAGCATGTGAACTCCTGGGATTGGACGTACAGAGGCTTATGGTAGGTGTCCAGTTTGCAGATACAATACTGCAACGTACCTTCGCCTCAGATACGAACGCGGAGCGGAAAAAAAATATAGTGGTGTCCGGTAACATTGAGGGGGGCATGGGCATATATAACACCTTCCTGGAGTTTCAAAGCCACGAATTGTGCTCAAAATATATTCATGAGTTTTATTCATGGCTGCTGGATAATAAACGGCTACACTTGAAAACAAACGACTTTCCAAAACTGGCCTGAATCGGATGTAGGCGAAATGTAGGCCAATGTAGGCCAAGGGGCACACTGTACCTTCCTTGTTGATGTAGGCCAACATGTAGGCCTTCATGACGCAATTAAAACTTGATCAAACGTCGATATGTCGGCCAATGTAGGCCAATGTAGGCCAATGTAGGCCAAAGAGCAGAGGTACGACTGTTCCCGCAGCTTTTTTTGGTAGCTCTCAAAGGGGTTACGGGCGTTGCGTTTTGCTTTCCTAAATGGCTGCTGCTGGGATTGACGGACATGGGACGCCAAGTGCGTCTCTCGCCGGCTCAGGAGCGCCTGCCCAAGCGGCAGCGGAGGCACCGAGCGTGCCAGAGGGACTGTGTTGCAAGCTGTGCGCTCGCACCCTGCCAGCGTCTTCGCCGGGAAGAATGCGAAATAAGACGTGGACTTGCCGCCATTGTTTGTCACTGGAGTTGCTGCTCTATCGACATCTGGGGTCGTCGGAAAAGCAGGGCTGGTCAGTCGACTCTCGCACCGACTTCTATCGACGTGCCACGGCCGTAGAAGTGGCCGGCTGCAGGTGGTCCACAGTGAAAACAATGATTGTGGAGTCTCAAGCCACGCGCTTGGTGAAGGAGCAGGAGAACCGTGTGACCGCGAAGTCTCTTCCCCTCGCGGTCTGGATCAAGAAAGGTTATGATGAAGAAGCGGTGAGGAAGTATCCAGCGGAGGAGGATGAAAATTTGGGCACCCTGTACGCAGTACCTGTGAAGTCGGTAACAATGAAGGAAGCACGGCAGCTCATCGAAGAAGAATTGCAGAGAAAGGAGAAGGAAGTGCTGCAGAAGAATGCGAAGAAAGTCAAGCGTCAAGACGATGACGTCGATGGACGCGAAGAGGAGGAGTGGGATGTGGTTCCACACAGACCCGCTGCGAGCGGAGGGCAGCCGAAAGGTAAGAAGGCCAAGACTGATGGCAACACGGCTGCAGCCACTGAGAAAGCCTCGAAGAGTGCGGCTAGAGCGGCCGTGCAAGCCAATAAGGCAAATGAGCAGCTGACCATGCTGGCTTCCAAGGCTACGGGCCTCCTGAGCAGGGTGCTAAAGGCGACGCAGACTTTGCTGCAGCAAGCTGAAAAGGCGAAGCTGGAAGGCAAGCAGGAGGTGGTAGACTTGAAAAATTCCTGGGAGCGTGGCACGGCTTGGAATAAGGCTTGCGTGTCCGCCTTGCCATTGGCCACTGCCGCGCAGGGCACCGGCGCCCGCTTGGATGCGTTGCCTTTTACCAACAAAGACTTGCAGGACTACGCTAAGGCAACCGCTGTTTTGCAGAAACAGATCCGTGAAGATCTGAAGAGCTTGAAGCCGGCCAAGGCTGCTGCGAGCAAGCAGGAGGAAGCAAAGTGACGCTACGAGCGCACCAAACGCACTGTGTTGTAGCATGTGAGCCGGGGAAGCATGTTGCCAGGTAGACATAGGTGCCAATCCAATTCTAGACTCTGAGTTCGCAGATTAAACGCGCAGTGTCTCTCTGTGCAACGGGCGAAAAATAGTGTGGCCCTTCTTTACCTCTGAGTCACCGGTCTTGTCACCCGTTCCTTGTTTCTGCCGCAGCTTTCAAATCGAAACCTGTATGCTTCTATGCTGTCACTATGGCTCAAAAAGTATATGTACAATGAAGGAAGCACAGAATCACGTATCATCATGTAGACTATACAGAGACACAGAGACCTGTTGCGTATGAGTTTCATCGATTCGTACTTGTCTTTATGTATAAAGTAACCATCCAAATAAGTCCATGCTTTGTGGCCGGGAACAATACAATAGCAAGAAACAAAACACGCGGCATTCCAAAGCATATGCGCACAGCCACATGTCGTGTCCTGCCGTTGGTCGAAAAAGAAAATTGTCAGAAAACGAAGTGGCAAACCTCCATGAATGTCTCGCGGTGCCATGCGCATCCGAGAACGCTGTGCTGAAAATTTGGAATATTGCCAATCAATTGAGAAGTGACAGACCCGATGCCTGTAAGTCGACTTTGAAGGCTGCCGCTCGCGAACGTCTGCGCGACGCGCGGGCCTGCTATGAAGCGTGGCGGGTGCCAGCCAGTGACGAAACTATCTGGATGCCGCGTGCACCGGAAATGCTGCAATTTATGGTGGACGAGTCGCCTGCGTGGCGTGCTGCCGTGTCAGATGCGTTGGACGTCAACGACGGGGTTTTACGTCCAATCATCTATCATGATGACATCACGTGTGGAAACATTTTGGCAGTCATTAAAAAGAAAAAGGTGACTGCGGTGTATCTCACCGTACGTGAAATGTTCCCTCATGTGAGCCTAGAAGCTGCGTGGCTTCCCTTGTTGGTAATGCAACGGGTCCAACAGGAGGAAGTGCCTGGAGGTTTGTCTGCAGTGATGGCAGAATTGGTGCGTCGTCTCAGGCGGGCTGGAAGAGGCTTTGCGTTGGAAATAGATGGACGAGTTAGGCACTGTAGCTTCACGGTGCCATTTCTCTTTGTGAGCGACATGGATGCTCAAAGAGCAACTTGGTCGATCAAAGGCTCCGCAGGTTTGAAACCATGCATGTTCTGCGCCAACGTCATAGCAAAGTACGCCCTGCGCGGGCAGCATGAGTCATTTGAAACGATCGCTTCTGCAGCTTGTGACAGGCTCAAGGCAATTTCGGATGCTGACTTTCAAGCAGCGGTTCGTCATATCGCAGCACAGCCAACAAAAGCGTCCAGGGAACAATGGGAAAGAGCATATGGCTTGACATGGGATCCCCATAGCCTTTTGGCAGACGCAGATGCATTGTCGTGCTTGCCCCCCAGCGGCGCATGCAACGACGTCTTGCATGCGTACTTCTCCAACGGTGTGGCGTCTGTAGAACTGTGGCAGCTTGTCAATACACTGGGTCCGCTAGGAATTTCTCTGGGCAACCTGCGTGGTTTTGCATTGCAGAAACAATGGCTGCGATATGGGAAGAATGTGTCGCCGTCGCAGACGTGCATCAAACATATTTTGTCAGACAAGATGTTTGATAATGAACGATCCTTCAAAGGAGATGGCACGGCAACGGAACCTCTCGTCTTCCTGCTTTGGTATGTACTTTGTGAGCACGTGGAGCCAACTCCTGCTCTGAGTTCTGCAATGAGAAGTTTTGAGGGTCTCCATGCGTGCGTGCGTGAGCTGCGCTTCCTCCGCAAATATCCCGGAGCTCTCAGCTCAGAAGAACAAGTAGCACGCCTACGTGGCCTTCAAAGTTTGCATCAACGCGACTTCAACGAAGCCTACGGGGCAGAGAACAGTATCCCAAAGCATCATCACCGATTTCATATTCCTGACGGAGCTTTGAAACTTGGATTCCTTCCGCACTGTGAAACACATGAATCCAAACATCGCTGCCTCAAAAGTGGTGGAATCGTCGATAACCAAAGAGGCAAACTTAACGAGCACGCCAACTTCCAGTATGAGGTGGTGACACGGATGTTGAAAATCACTTGCTCTGAATCCGTTGAATTTGGCTTGACACGTTGGGAATTATTAACACCGACGAAGCCGGCGTGCCAAGCCATGCGGGCAGAGTTTCAAGATGAGACGCTTCTGAGCGGCAAACGTATGCAATTAAGGCGACATGTCTTGAAAGAAAACCAGCCGATCATTATTGAAAACACAGCCTATATAGTCGAAAAGTGCCTGAGTGGCGCACGCGCAGGTCTTTGGCTGCAGTTGAAACCGTTGGTTCACAAACAAACTTTCCCATGGGGAACTCAATGGACGGATGACAACATCCCGCCCCAATGCTGCAAACCCAAGGCCAAACATGCGCTGATGACACCTGTGTGGTGGCAATTTGAAGCACCCACATACACGTTCCTCGGATGAACGGAAAGATTTCCCCGAGAGGGAAAAATTCAAGTTTGCAAGCACTAATTAGCACAAAATAAACATGCAACACCTGACCAAACGCATTCTGGGAGAAAAAAGGCTGCCGCTGCTGACGTCAGTTTTTTCAAAAAGACAATGACATGGCTTCAACTTAGCTCGGACTTGGTAAGTCCAATCTAAATCAAAAAAAAGGTCATATCTAAGTCAGGCAAGTTCAAGACAACTAACATAAATCAACCCTATATTTTTAAAAAAACATGTGGTACAGGTCTCGGATCGTCTGTCGCGAGATCAAGCGATCCAAGAATGCGGAATATATCCCAGAGCCCAGAGCATGCAAGCTTTAGTGCAATGCCGCCTCTTGAGGCTCTGAAGATGTTACTGTCACTCATGGTAACTCTCCGAACCTCAAAGCGCAATCGAAAACCTCTTAAGCTACGCCTACTGGACATCTCCAGGGCGCATTTCTACGGACATGCGCAGCGAGAGATTTTCGTAACTCTCCCGGAAGGTGATCAAGAAGAAGGTATGGTGGGACTGCTGCTGAAAAGCATGTATGGGACGCGCGATGCAGCCCATATCTGGCAGCAATCCTATACAGATGTGCTGCTTGCAGCAGGGTTCAAAAGATCCGCTGCATGGCCAGCAATCTTCTTTCACGAACGCTTGGAAGCAAGGCTGCTAGTCCATGGAGACGACTTCGTCATTTTGGGCGACGACGCGGCTCAGGAGTTTGTGGAGAAAGCACTAAGAGAAAAGTACGATCTTCGTGTCGATGGGAGCATTGGCGTAGGAGAAGCAAAGCAGGAGTTTTGTGTCTTGAACCGTCTCGTACGCTTCGACGAGCGGTCAGGAACAATCTTCTACGAGCCTGATCCACGTCACGCCGAGATCTTGCTCAAAGATTTAGGCATGGAGACGTGCAAACCAGTCAAGAGCCCAAACGAGAAGTTAACTGCAGAAGCGCTAGCCAAAAGGTTATAATAGAACTGGATGTGGTTGATCCACACAGGATCAGTCAGTATACGTTCGCTTACTATGCGAGCAGCGTTCTTAGCCCAAGACCGTCCTGATTTGTCAGAGACAGTCAAGTGCCTCGCACGTAAGATGCAAGGACCCACCGAATCTGATTTTGGTGATCTGAAGCGTCTAGCTAGGTACCTGAAGGGCAATATGCGAATGGTGCAGAAGTTCACCCCGCAGAAGTTCAGCAATGTTGTGTCAGTCCATGCTGACTCGGACTTTGCAGGCTGTCTTCTCACTCGGAAGAGTACTACGGGTCTAGTCTGTTACTATGGGCGCCACACTTTACGCCACTCGAGTAACCTACAGTCCACAGTCAGTCTTTCATCAGGAGAAAGCGAGTACTATGCCTTGGTCAAGGCAGTGGCTTCCGGAATGGCAACCCAGGAGCTGCTTAGAAGCTGGGGCATTAACGTGAATCTCCAGGTGTACACTAACTCAGCTGCAGCACTTGGAACGTGCAATCGGCTTGGACTTGGGAAATCGAGACACATACAGACCAGATACCTCTGGATTCAAGAGAAGTTGGCCGAGCGATCGTTCGAGCTGATCAAGATTGACACCAAGCTGAATACCGCTAACATCTGTACCAAAGCATTGGCAAGCGAAGCTGCAGAACGACATCTGAAGGCAATGGGTTTCGAAGTAGTTCAAGGACGTTCATCAATAGCAAAGGCTGTTGTGTAGTGTCCCAAAGTGGACAATGGCCTAATCACCCACTGTCCAGGAGGGGTGATTCGGGACACGTACCCTCATAAACCATGAGGTGTATGTACCTTGTTTTGGCTCAAGTAAAATAGGAGTGTTGCAATTTTCTGATCACCTTACAGAGTATAGCTCTTGAACCAAGATAAAATATAGAGCATATCCTTTAATATCTTCAATAGTGTATGGGATTTGTTTTTTTCGCAACGTAGGGTTTTTTTTGCGAAAAGTGCGCCGCGCCACATAGTACGTGTTTTTCCCTGCCACGGGGGGGAGGGGGTGGGTGGGTGACCTTGATTCAGACGAAGCAAAAACGCACCGCAAGAGAACAAAGGAACAAGTACAAGCCAAGAACAGAAACAAGTACAAACCAAGAACGGAAACAAGAACAGCGCCTTCCAATCAGACACGCCGGCAGGCCGGCGGATTGCTACCACACGTCTGCTCCACATGTTTCACTTCTAGTGTTGTGACTGCGACTGCGACTACGTTACTTTTACCATTAGACATATTGCTACTAGCACGCGTGCATTTGAAGAGCAAAATCGATTGTAACAACGCCTCGTTGGGGTTTATGTTCCACATTTTGTGTTCTTCTGTCCTGCTGGCAACGCGCATGTGAACAGTTTGACCTGCTTCCTGAAACTGGCCTGGTTGCAGGCGTCTCACTTCTTGAAGCAAAGGGGGGCATATCCAGTCAGCAAGATTACGAAATTGATGTGTAGACTTTGCCAGTTCACAAAAATTGTGGTTTGCATGTTAGGTGCTCCTTGCCATCTCAGTGAAGCGGGGAAACGAGGGGACAACTGCAGAAACGGCTGGAAAAATGCGTGTTGTTCAGATGGGGTGTTAATTGACGCATGTTGACATGTTTCGTTTGTCTTAGTCTGTTGGCATGCATTCGGTGCTTTTGGTAAAAACACCAATGAACAATTAATTCCATCTCTGCAGATTCTCAGGTTCACAACTTGGCGGCGGGGCCCTGCAATGAAATGCCATGGATTTGAGGTTTGCCGCGGAGGAAGGCGATTGGGGCGATGATGACGCAGAGGTCGAAGACGTACAGGGTGAGGGGGTTGAAGAGATTCCGGCTGTGAAGCACAAAGAGATTCTTCCAGCAACTTCACCGGCGCTTCCGTCTGAGAAGCCTTTGGCCAAGGATGCGGGGCACACCGATGTTTCAGCTCGACCCGCCCCTCGGCCCCCGTCCAAAATCCACATGGATCCACACACGCGGTACTTTGTTATTAAAAGCAGCAGTCACAAAAACATTGTGCTGTCCATTGAGCACAGGGTCTGGGCAACTCCACGGAGCAATCAGGAGAAGTTGAACGAGGCGTTTCGGAGTGCTTCCCATGTGATCCTGGTTTTCTCTGTGACTGGCAGTGGTTGTTTTCAAGGCTATGCCAAAATGCTTGGTCCAGTGGGAAGTAGTTCAACGGATGTTTTCCAAGGCTTTGGCCGGGCTTTCGAAGTGCGGTGGCTCCGCTTGGATGATTTGGATTTCGAACAGGTCTCAAACATCCGCAACCCGTGGAACGAGAACAAATCTGTGAAGGTGTCCAGAGATGGCCAGGAGCTGCCGAATGACGTGGGTCGTCAACTCTGCGACACTATAGATGCCAAAGTCTACGAGGGTGATCCGTCTGGTTACATCGATGACAGCCAAGAACTAGAAACCGGTGATCCTTCACTTCGTGCCACGCCCCGGCCCTTGCATGCATTCCATCCTGCGCAAAGTGCCCCGCCCATGCAGCCCGTGGCCATGCAGCCCGTGGCGATGCCGCCAATGCATTGGATTCCGCATGCCGTGCACGTGCCACAAGCGATGCCAGTCGCGGTGCCCGTGCCAGTGGATCCACGGGCCGCACCAGGCCCTCAGTGGTTTGGGCCGGGGCCTGACACAGAACCTGGCAGCCGGAAGCGACGTCGGTCAAGTCAAACCTCTGCTCCGCCCAACGACTGGCAAGGCAGAGCGCCCACCATGGTGCCCAGTGCCCCGACGTCAGCGCCAACGCCGCAGACTGCCCCGCAGACGTGGTTGGGAGCCTCGCCGCGGTGAAAACAACTGTGAAGGCGCGGTGTGTTGTTGCCTAACTGCGGCTTATGGTTTCTGAAGGTTACATCACTGCATGGCTGGCAGCTGGCTGAAGGAAGTACAAGGGGTTAAGTGACGTTTGGGTGACCATGACGTTGTCAGCCCAGGGATCCACAGCATCACTGGCTGCTTTTGCCTTAAGCCCAAGCCTTCATGCATCTAATTGCGCAAGACATATCTTTATTTACGGTGTAGCGACCACTCCAGCTACAATTTTCTGGTGCGTAGTGCATCTAAGACATTGGTGATGATGTGCCAGCTAACCAACCATTCCCGCTGACAAAACTATTCAAGTGGGGGGCTGTTTCGCATTAAACACGTCTAAGAGCTATTGCAAATTACACTTAAGCAATTCCACTTCAGCAAGCAATGGGCACTGCGCAATGTTCAGCTAGCCTTTGGACTGAAGCTGGTCAGTGGGGGAATGGGACGAGAGAGAAGTGCAAGCTTCCGGATTTGGTTTAGTTTTCGTTTGCGCGTTTTGTAGGTGACTTGGATGGAGTAGAACTGGGCAAATCTAGTTGAAAGAATGCCTGCAAGCATTCACTGAGTTGTTGGCTGTGATTGTCATGGCTGCAGCGACATCTCCAGCCAAGGTGGTTGTGTATGCCCCAAGAGCGACAATGCACAAGTGGTTGAGCAGGACACACATGACACAAATATCACAGTGGCATGGCATTCTTGATGGTGTGGGCTGATATGTTCTTAATCTATCTTGCGATTGTGTTTCAGGCCCTTAATTATTCGCCTTGCGATTCCTGTTATGCAAGCCATCGGATAGATTTCCAACATCGAAAGGCTATGTGGCATAGACTTTTGTCGTGATGCGTTTTGAATGACATGCACACCAGCATCGCCTTCGAGCTCTAAAGGACCGGTCTCAAAGCTTTGCAAAGGCTTCTGCTGCTCTCGGTCCTGCTTATGTCTTCGAAGATGGTGCGACCTACAGCCACTTGTCAGGGTATCAACTGCTTCCGCATGTGTTAAAAAGAAACTTACATGGCTGGTTCTCCCATGCCAGCACATTTCAGTGCCGCAGTTGGTATACTTGTGCATGGTTCTGCGGGAGGGCAGAAGATGATCATGCAAATATTATCAAATATTGCTGAATTTGCGTAGCTCAGGGCACAGAAATGCAGTCATTCCTGGATTTGCATAGATTTACTTGGGGTAATTCTCAAGCCTGACAAGAAGGTGTGCAAGCGTTTCAGTTTCAGACTGAGGTGGCCAGTGGAAGGGGAATATGAGACACGGAGCCTTGACGAGCATTGTGTGCGGCAATGTGGGGCAACTTGAGCCAGTCATGTTGTCCATGGAAAGAGGCTTGTTTTGAAAGCGCCTGTGCAAAGTTTGGCTGGGTCCTGGTATGCTTGCGAGCGCACGCGCTATGCACAGAGGTCATTATGCACATTAATCCCCATGTTTTTCAACCCCTTCGCACGTCAGAATCATGTTAAATTGTCATCCTCGTTTTTCTCATCCTCCCATCATGTGAAATTGTAATTTTCATTTCCTTTACACGTAGACACTTTTACTTTTACACGCAGGCGCTTTTTACACAGAGACGCCTTTACACACAGACGCTTTTTACACGGAGACGCCTTTACACACAGGCGCTTTGACACACAGACCCTTTTTACACACAGACGCTTTTACTCACAGACGCTTTTACACACAGACGCTTTTACACACAGACTCCTTCACACACAGACGCTTTTACACACAAAGACGCTTTTACACACGGACGCTTTTACACACAAAGACGCTTTTACACACGGACGCCTTTGCACACAAAGACGCTTTTACAAACAGACGCTTTTACACACAAACACATTTACACACCCGCTGTCACACACACACACTAGACAAGAAAGGATCTTTGAAAAGATCCGTCAGGAACTGAGTCCTGTAACATGCAAACCAGCCTAGACAATTAGACCTAAAGTAGATCCCCTTGTAGTACTTCTCGAAAACGATGTAGGGCATCCAACGTTGTCAAACGGAGTCCAAACCAGATTCCAAAAAGGTGAATAGGATCATCATGTTGATAAATGTTGATAACCAAAAGGTGATGTCAACAGCGAAGTAGGTTTCGGCGATGGTTTTCCAAAATAATCAAAGAATACATCGGCGACATGGTTTCGGCGAAATAACCAAAAATACAGTCGGCGACATGGTTTCGGCGAAAACACAGATTGTGGCAACCGTGAAGAAATAAAGTCATTGTATTTGGGGTACTTGGCTTAGCCCCTTGCCATTCACAAGCACTGATTGCAAAAATGAAATGGACAGCTTGTTCAACAGTTCAAACTGGATTCTGCAGGTACAGGGAGGTGATCAGCCTCCCCTTCCCACCAATGGCAATAGCTTCGTTGCGTGCAGTATGCCAAAGGTGCTGCACGCCCCTGCTAAACTAAAGTCAGAATAGATTGAACCAGAAGAAACTCGAGAGAAGAAGTTTTACATCTATTCAGATGTGTCACACACACACACGCACAGACGCCTTTACACACAGACGCTTTTGCACACAAACACTTTTACACACAAAGAGATTTTTACACACACAGGCGCTTCTACACAAAGACGGTTTTACAGACAGACTCCTTCACACACGGACGCTTTTACGCACAGACAGTTTTACGCACAGCGTTTTTACACACAGATGCTTCTACACAGAGACTCCTTCACACACAGACACTTTTACACACGGACGCTTTTACACAGACTCTCTTACACACAAACGCTTACACACACACACAAGTGCCATATTATGCTTGGGAACCCGCTTCGAGACCCAGGGTTCCGCAGCATGATAAGACATTATCATCACATGTCTATGATCAAAATGCCCTTTTACACTTGGGAACCCGCTTCGAGACCTATAGGGTTCTGCAGCATAATCAGACATGTTCATCACATGTCTACCATCAAAATGTCGTATTATGCTTGGGAACCTTCTTCGAGACATCAAAATCGCAATTTTTCCCAATTTTGACGATCGAACCTCATTTCGTGCGTAAGGGTCGCAGCAGGCCCGTCAAAATCGCACTTTTTCATCAGTTTTTGACGGTCAAATTTCATTTTGTGCGAGATTGTCGCGTTTCGTGATCGTTCGTGGCCACCGCCCCCGCCCTATATAAGAGAGAAGAGAAACTAGCAGACGAGAGAAGTGAGAGAGAGAGAGAGAGAGAAAGAAAACAAGGGGGGGCCTGAGAACCCAAAAGCAAAACGACAGCAAACAAATTTGAGTAATAATTGGTTTATTTCCTTTTCGCCCCTTGCCAGCATCTAAGGTTTTGCAGCCGATAGGGGGTCTTTGGAATTTGATTTTAGGGTCCTTGGTGATTTAGTTCTACCTCTGATTGTGTGATATATGTTTTCCATTATTTATTTCTTTATCTATCTTATCTATCAAGGTAGGTGGCCTTGGTATATACTAGCGAAAATGATCCCAAAGGAAAGATCGTCTTGGGTTAGTGTCCCTTGGATGTTTCAATATTATTAATTCTTATCCGTCCTTCGGTAGTCATGCCAAGATGGGGATTGATAATTAGTCTCTCCATCCATTTACTGTTCTTTTCGTGGAAGTGCCAGTCAGAACAAACGATCACCATTCGATCGTAGTTCAGATAGTTTTTTTTGGGTTGGGTACATATCAATATATGCAGCCGATGGGGGGTCTTTGGAATTTGATTCTAGGGTCCTTGGTGATTTAGTTCTACCTCTGATTGTGTGATATATGTTTTCCATTATTTATTTCTTTATCTATCTTATCTATCAAGGTAGGTGGCCTTGGTATATACTAGTGAAAATGATCCCAAAGGAAAGATCGTCTTGGGTTAGTGTCCCTTGGATGTTTCAATATTATTAATTCTTATCCGTCCTTCGGTAGTCATGCCAAAATGGGGATTGATAATTAGTCTCTCCATCCATTTACCCTTCTATTCGTGGAAGTGCCAGTCAGAACAAACGATCGCCATTCGATCGTAGTTCAGATAGTTTTTTTGGGGTTGGGTACTTCGATAAAATATGAAATATATTTTACATATATATATATATATATTATATATATATATTTATGCAGCCGATGGGGGGTCTTTGGAATTTGATTCTAGGGTCCTTGGTGATTTAGTTCTACCTCTTTTTGTGTGATATATGTTTTCCATTATGTATTTCTTTATCTATCTTATCTATCAACTCCTCACTCCGCACTCCGCACTTTACATGTTACACTCCTCGCTCCGCACTTTACACTCCTCACTCCACACTCCACACGCTACACTTTACACTGCACACTTCCCACTTTACACTCCACACTCTGCAATTTACACTCCGCACTCCACACTTTACACTCCACACTCCTCACTTTACCCTCCGCACTCCACACTCTACAGTTTCCACTCCACACACTACACTATACACTCCACACTCCTCACTCCTCACTCCACACTCTACACTTTACACCCCACACTTTACAGTTTGCACTTTACACTCCTCACTCCACACTTTACACTCTACACTTTCCACTCTACACTCCACACTTTACACTCCACGCTTTCCACTCCACGCTTTACACTCCGCACTTTACACTCCACACTTTTACACTCCACACTCCACAGTCTACACTTTACACTCCACACTCCAAAATCCACACTCTACACTCCACACTTTACCCACTGCGCACTCCACACTCCACACTTTACATTTTACACTCCTCACTCCACACTTTACAATCCACACTTCCCACTTTACACTCCACACTCTACACTTTACACTCCACACTCCACACTTTACACTCCACACTCTGCACTCTACACTTTGCACTCTACACTCCACACTCTACACTTTTCACTCCACACTGCAGACTGTCAACAAGGGAAATATGTATATACAAGACTGTTCAACAAAACTATTGCAGAAAAGTGTTCTGCGTGACTGCATATCCATGCGTTTCGACATCATCACCATTAACATACGTGTGAGCATTCGGGTTCGTGGGCTGCATCTTGTTCTTTCCCTTTCTTTCCCTTTCTTTCCCTTTCCTTTCCCGTCCTTTCCCTTCCTTTCCCTTCCTTTCCCTTCCTGTCCCTTCCTGTCCCTTCCTTTCCCTTCCGTTTCCTTCCTTTTCCTTCCTTTCCCTTCACCCACACCGTCCGCACCACGGTTCAAAGCAGCTCGCTCCTCACGCGGTTAACCAATTAAACGAGAACCCAAGCATCGAAGATGCTTTTGGGAAAGCAACACCATTTAATAACTAGATACAAAAAATGCACACGCCAAGCGAGTACCCAAAAAAGCAAATCACCCTACCCCATGTCTCCACCCATTCCCTGGCCCCACCCCCTTGCATCCATTTTATCGGTTAATCTATATGCGCACATAGCCAGCCGAAAACATTTTCCATGCTTGTTCTCCCCCCATTTCCAGCCACTCCGTTGCACCCACGCCGTCCAAGCTCGCTCATCCCCAACGTCTTCTTCTCCCCAGCCACACCCTTGCACACACGCCGTCCGCAGCCGTCCGCGCAGCCCAGCTCGCTCATTCCCAGCACCTTCTTCTCCCCCACCCCATTTTCAGGCACTCCTTGCACGCACGCCGTCCGCAGCCGTCCGCGCAGCCAAGCTCATCCCCAGCGGCTTCTTCTCCCCACCCATTTTCCACCCACTCCCTTGCACCCACGCCGTCCGCAGCCGTCCGCGCAGCCAAGCTCGCTCATCCCCAGCCACCCCCTTGCACCAACCCATTTCCAGCCACTCCCTTGCACCCACGCCGTCCGCAGCCGTCCGCGCAGGCAAGCTCGCTCATCCCCAGCGGCTTTTTTCTCCACCCATTTCCAGCCCCCTGAGCATCAAAAAGTCTTTAATTAGAGGGTCCTCTAATTAGAGGTTTTTTTTTAAGGGATAATCCCTTAATTAGAGTTTTTTTTTTCAAAAAAAGTCTCTAATTAGAGGTTGTTTTTAGAGGCTTTTTTTGTGAATAAGTGGGTTGTGGGATTCTATAAGAGCCATAAGACATGGATGTTAACCTGACATGGAACTTTTCGTACCTCTGTGTATGTTTTTGTCGTTTGGAAGAGTTCGGGAGCGGCAGCACCGCGTCCGCGAAGATTTGCAGCTCAAGTCTGGTGGAAGAGATGAGGAAAGCCTCATCCATGGATGTAGGCTACCTGTCCAAGACATTGAGGGGCAACTTGTCTGATCTTCCCACCATGTGCAGCCATGAGACGCATGAGGAGCTTCTTCGCGACATTTTGCAGAAGACACCGCGGTTGAACAAGGAGGAAGCCGTGAGGGCTTTGCGCAGCGCTTTCCCTGGTGCTGACAAGGCGGCGTC